TTCGTATATGTATGTCATAGTACGCGTAAAATATTTCGGCAGCGAGGTGAGTAACACGACGTTCGGCCTTGATGACGTAGCGCTGTATTGTTTTCATAGGCGAAGACCTTGTATCATTCGCACGGCGACATTCCAGTAGTAAAGTAGTGGTACGGAACACTTCGTATTATTGAATTATTTTTCTAACAGTGCGATCGCGATTAATATCGAAATATAATTCCATACGACTATTACAATTAACAATTAATTAACTCTTAATAAATAACATGAAACTATATGGCGATGATACATCCATCGAAACGCGATCCTTCATTATTCCAAATAAAAATTGAAACAAAAGAGGCAAAAATTATAAATACATAGACAACCTTATATTATTCACACGACATTCCAACGGCAAAGTAGTGATACAAAACGCTTCGTATTATTGAATTCTTTTCCTAAACGCGATCGCGATTAGTATTGAAATATAATTCGCTACGACTATTGTAGAGCGAATCGTACTTCATTATCCATTATACGATATATTAATGTGCGTTTCTCGTAATTATTCCGCGATCGGGTGTGCCGTGCAAAAGTCTCGCGATCGTTTCTATAGTATATGACTAAATATAATTAATTGTTTGTTCGCGAGTGAATATGAGTGCTATGAGGAAACAGCAAGGGATGTAGAAGAAAAAAGAAGGACATCTGAAAAAGTATCGAACACTCAGAGAGCAGTGAAGCAGTCAGAGAGATATGCGGTGAGTAATTTCTAAAAATTATTTATTATTATTATTATTAGTGAGTAATTTATAAAAATTATTTATTTATTATTATTATTTATATATGTATTATTTTCAAAATAGCTATATTGGTATTATATATATATATATATGTTAAAGTACGTAAAATATTTCGATGACGATCATATTAAAAATAAATTAACTTATGATAAAGATCATGAAAATGTATCGCAACGATATATCTTTATCGAATCGCAATCATTAATTACTGCGAATAAAAATTGAAAAAGGAAATATAAAAGAGGATAAAGAAATTAATTTGATTATGATCTTTCGATTATTGATGCTTATTATAATAATTTCTCTAACAATACTTATTAAAATTGAATAAATTTCGACCAATGCTTTAAATTTTCTTAATCGACAATCATTCATAGAATATTTCAACGATGTTTTATGACTTACGATCATTCGCACTTTGAACAATAAAGTTGTGACGTTTCATATATTATCAAATTCTCTCTCTACATAATCAATCTTGATCAATCTGGATATAAACAGTACCGCGGTAATGTTTCTGACCTACGATCATTCCCTCAGTGGCCTTCGAACAGTGAGGTAGTGATGTGAGACGTTCCATATATTATCAAATTCTTTCTCTAACAATTATTTTGAACATTGCTTTATATAATAGATTTTTTCTCTTATCTTTTATATTTTTATTTATAGTTTATATTTGCGAATTAAAATTTATATAGTTTATTACAAAATTAATTATATATTACATTATATATAAAATTATATATAATATAATATAACCCTCCCATGGGGTACACCTTGTCGCGATGGGAGGGCTTAATACTTGGATGGTGCCTTGAGGTTTATTTTAAATTTTTCAATTTATGATAAATCTTAAGGTGCCTGAAACTAAGTACCCTTTCGCGTCGTCGGTGTCGTCAACGTGCCGCGGACGACAAGCGCCGTCAACGCGTTAAGTATATACATATTAGGGAGTGCCGTTAAAGGTATATACATATTAAGTATATACATCGCGCGATCAAATATAAAATGTTTAATCGCATCGAAATAGTGCGGGAGTGCCGTTCAGTATCGCGCGTAAAATAACGAAAATAGCGATATAAAAATATCGCTCGCGAGTGCGGGAGTGTCGTTAAAAGTATCGCGCGCCAACAACATGAGAGGAGGAGGAGGCCTGGAAGAGGCATCGTGCACCGGCGGAACAATCTGATGGTAAATATTATTATTTATATATTAATTGTTATAAATCATTAACTTGTTATACATGAATAATTCGATCTTATTATTTAAATGAATTAAAGAGAAAGATTTTTATGAAAGTCATATAAAATATTCTATTCAAAAAACAGTTTCAAAAATTTATAAAATTTTTCCGTACGTGTTTATCTGCTTATTATTTTACACATCGGATATAAAATTCCCCGTAATAAAAATTTTTTTAAACATTAATTGCATTTTGTGAGCATTATTATAAATGAATTTTATATTTGTATGTTACAGAAAACTAACTTCGATAACAACAACTCCGCTGTTGCGCATCAGTGCTGGTGAGTGAAAAAAACTTTTATTTAACTTTAAGGTAACGGATTCGTAGAGATTGCACATGTAGATGTAGACGTAAATTGTAGATTGTAGATAAATCCGTTGCCTTAAAATGGATGAGCTAGGATGAATTAAATTAAATAAATTAAATTAAATAATTAAATTAAATTAAATTAATTAAATTAAATAATTTTAATAAGTTTTTTCGAACTTACGCTTTGCATCTATTGCGAAAATATATTGAAATATTAATTTAAAAAAAGAGATCAAGAAAAGATTTTGTTGTAAAGATTTTGTCTAATTTATTAAATAAAGGACGCGCTTTAACAATTATCAATTTTATCAATTCTTGATGCTAATTTATTCTTATAATACGCACTTATTTTCTGTTTGCTAATAGCTCATCCATCGTAGAATTTATTTGTAGATATTGGTTTTAAACTTTATTTTAACTTAATATAAAGCCAAATGATTAATTAATTAAATAATTTGTAATATGATAAATGCACATATTAATTTTATATTTTATTATAAAATATAATTTATAAAAATTTGTAAAAATTTGTAGTAATTTGGCTTTATTTCAATTAAAATAAAGTTATATTCAATATTTAACGAGCGATCATGAAATCGAACGATCGTTACTAAATGAGCGTAAATATTTTACGCTCTTTTGCCGGTAATTATCCGGCAAAAGAAGGAGTAATTATCTCTGTCTTCGATCTCTGATTAGAGATCGAGAAAGAAAGTGGCCAGGATCAACGAAAGATAGGTTCAACTGGCCTGAAGAGTACGGTTAGAGTATGCGGTTAAGGCACGCGATTAGGGCACGCGATTAGGGCATGTGACTAAAATATATATATATACATGATTAGGTGAGGTGATGATTAGAGATAGATTCCTCAAATTTCGAATAATTTTAGTTAATCAGGAAGGGTTATTAAGGCTATTAAGTAAAATCATTAGAATTCTTCTATTGATATTAGGGTTGATAGGGCTCTTAAAATCATTAGAATTCTGTAATAGTAGGATTGTTAGGGCTATTAAGTAAGATTCATTCTTTCTTTTAATATTCAAATAATCCTAATAAAATCCTAATAATTAAAATTATTTTAATTAAGTTGAATTTATTTTTAAAAACGTTGTAAAAATAAATATAACATGTTTTAAAAATAAAAACGTTTTAAAAGTGAAATTTAAATTCATATCAAAATTATCTTCAGAAATATTAAAGAAATTGCAAATTTGTAATTATTAACGTTTAAGAAATAACATAATATAACATGTTATATTTTATTTTAAAAGTTAAAAATATATGTGTATCAAATCAAATATAATATTAAATTCAAATGTTAATGCTATCAAATTATTATATCGATATTATTAAATATTTGAATAAATAAAATATTATTATTTGATATTGATAGCATCATAAATTTGTAAATATTAAATTGTAAATAGTTATAATTGTAAATAGTTATAATTGTATTTTAATTATAATCTAACATTAATATTTTAATTGTAAAATATAATACAATTATGACTATAATTATATTATATGAAATTGTGTTTACGATTGTAAATTCTTATGCAAATTATACGAAAAATTATCGAAAGTATACATGTAATGATTACATAATAGTAATTAACATAATAGTAATTCATTAAATTAAAGTATTTGTTTCTGAAGTATATATATATTTTTGGAATATTCATAAAAGAGTAACTGTTTGTATTTTCATGTCAAAGAGGCATTAATAAATTCGGAAAATTCAGAAAATATTTCGATAGACTCCATAGGAAGGAATAAGCATGACAAATGATGATAATCCCTAGATTTTAACACCAAGGAATATACAATAAACCATAATAATCCAAGAACTCGAAGAAGAAAATAATAGATAATAGAAATAGATAATAGAAATGCATAATGATTGGAAATGATTAGAAATTAAAAGACAGTATGAATACAACCTATTTATTAATAGTAATACTATTTTGTAATTATATTAAATTTTATAATTTAGTACATTGTATTATATAAAATATTAAGCATAAAAATATTATGCTGATAAGAAAATTATAATAAAAGTATATAAATAATGTTGACTATATTAGAATGGAACATATGAATTCTTTATATTTTATATAAAGGAAGAGATATTTAAAATATTTTGCAACTATATTTTTCGAATCTTAATTATAAAAACTTTAAAACAATCAATGATTAATTTGACAAATTCTATACATGTATTAATAATTAAATAAGTAATAAATAAATAAGTAAATAATTAATAATATAATAACTTTTTTAAATACTTTTTTAAATTTTAATAAATATCAAAGATCAGTTTATTGCTAATTAAGATTTATAGAAATAACGGTTAAAAATGTTTTTATTCCACAGCAGACATTTTGTGTTTTGTAAATAAAATATATAAACATGGCAATGAATATAGAAAAATATTTATTTCATCTTTGAACATTACATTGGAAGATTACAGTATCTTTCGCAATTGCATAATTTATTTACTATCAATTTATATACATGAATGTCTTGTTATACTCTGATGCTACCGGCATTTCATGCACATAGCACGGAACGAAACCAGAAATTGTGCACATGATACCCTCTGAGAACATTCATGGACATTGGCTTTGTAGTTTATGTCCACGTTTTCAATGTCCATAGAGGAAGTATCGCTTTCAGGGATCACCTAAAAGTAGGCCATGACATCTCTCAGTTTTTTCTCTGGCACAGCTTTGCATCACCAGCAGAGAATTGTCATCTGTCATTGGAGTCAAACTGTTATCGTAAATGGATGGGAAAACAACTTCTAATTCTTCCGGCTATCGCCGCGCGAAGTAAGTTTAATAATAATTACATTAATTATATAATATTACAGTAATGAATTTTAATATTTATTAATAGTTATCATTTCATCTTACGACGTTAAATCGTATTTTGAGGTTAGCTTGCTGCTTCCTAACCCGATTACACATATTTATAACAAATCAATATGTAAATATTAAACGTATTAAAAAAAGTTTGAAAATCGATAGGCAGAAATATTTTCATATAAGAATTATATGCAGTGCTTAATATATTAAAGAAACTAAATAAAGAAAAAAAAGAGAACATACTACATATAACTAATTAAAACTACATAAACTAAATAACTATTTTATCAATGAAATTTTTATACAAAAGAAATAATAGAATAAATAATTATATGTTTATAATAATATAATAAATAATTATATGTTTGCAATTATAATTTTATAGCTTGAAAATTGCACCTGGCGCAGTAGTATGCGAAGAAAGTATTCTGAAAGGAGATATTTCCATCGGTGCAAAAACTATAATCCATCCCAGAGCATGCATTCTGGCAGAGGCTGGTCCAATTATCATAGGAGAAGGTAATATAATCGAAGAAATGGCAACTATAGCCAACAGGTATGTTTAATATATTATTATAATATTTATATTCAACATGTAGTTTCCTACTAATATCTTATATACCTTGCAGATCACCTCCTGATGTTCCGGAATCCGCAACAGTACCAGTACAGATAATAGGAAATTATAATGTTTTTGAAACTGATTGTATGTGTGAATCATTTAAAGTTGGAGATAACAATATTTTGGAAGCAAAAGGTATATATAATACTTAGACAATTCATTTTTCAATATATATAAACAAATTGTGCCGATTGTGATATTTAATCATACATATATAAAATAGAACTAATATATTATGTCAGAAAATGATTTAATCACTCAATAAGATTTACAAAAATTTTATATAATTTTTATGTGCATTTTGCAAATAATTTTTTTTTGTTTAAAAGCTCATGTTGGTCGAGAAATTGAATTAACCAATGGATGCGTAATTGGGGCTGCATGTTCTTTGACTGAACGAGAAATTGTACCCGAAAATATGATAGTATATGGAAGTCAGAATCAACGAAGGGAAATGAATGACAAGCCATATGTGAGCATTATATATTATTATTTTTATTATTTCATAACACAACATTTGATCTTTTTCTATTGTATTAATCAGCCTCAGATTGGACAGTTGGATTTTCTGCTAAAAGTGCTCCCAAACTATCATCATTTTCGCAAATCGAACATGAAGCCAAAGCTTGGGGCTAATAATATGTAATATTCAATTTTTTATAATCATAAAACGAGAGAAAGCGAGAGTATAACTTTTGCATCAATTGTATTATATTTATTACACATACTTTATGATTATTCATGATTAATCAAAGAGAAGGGGAAACAAAATATATATGCATATATAAATATATAAATATATATATATATATATATATATATATATATATTTATTTATTTATTTATTTATTTATAAATACTACATAATCTTTTTGTAATAATTTATTATTATAAATATAATATATAAGCACAGTTTAGCAAATTTTGTAGAAAATTAAATATATATTATAAGAAAAAGAAAGGAAAGAGGGAGTTATTAAATATATAAATTAAATATATATACATATTAAATAATTAATGCTGATATTAAAAATAGCTAATTTGTTTTTATCAAAATGAAAACAAATAAAAGATCAATAAATCATAAAAGCATTCCTACAAATTCAATTTCTTCATTAAAGATGGCACTAATATTCAATTCTGTGAACTTTCTGTGGAAATTCTCTATATCAGTTTTTGTTCCTCAACAATTTCTTTTAATATTTATCTTATTACAAATCTGAACTGCTTTATTTAAATTAGAAATATTTGAATTTTTCTATAATGATATATTAATATATATAGTTCAAGATTACAATTAAATTACTTTCTTAAAATGAAGAGAAAAAAAAGTCAATTTAACAATATCTTTTGTCATTCTAATACATTGTATTAATGTATGCAATATTAATACAAGCAAAAAAAGTAACAAATATTATTATTAGTAAATAAATGACTAAAAGTTTTTGTATTTGTTGCTCGATTAGTCATATTGAGCTATTTTCGATTTTCCACACAAAAAAATAAAAAGAACCCTCATTTCTTTTTCACAATGAGCGGAAATACGAATAGAAATATTAGCCACTCCGTCTCTTAACCAACTCTCCAGAGAATTTAACGGCGTAATGCTAAACGCTACATCTATGAATATGAATTAGCATCTCGTCGAGGGGGTTGGTTGCGAATCATTTACCGCTTCCGTCAGCTTAGTGAAACGTGCCAGTGATTATCAAACTCTTCTTCATATTTGAGTTTATACTTACAAAGACATAACGTATTTTGCATTAAAATTGGAAAAATTATAATAGACGATCGAAATTTAACAATGAATCAAAATGTTACATCTTGATAAATCAATAAGCAATTTAATTTTAATATATAGAATATAAATCTTTGAAGTCTTTGAAGTATATTTTTCTAGATTTAAACATAAAAAGAAAAAAATTAATAGAAAAAATTCTTGAAAGCTATATAAATTATTTAATACGAAAGTTTACTTAAGAAAAAAATTGGTAATCATCTTTTCATAATGTTAACAGCTGAAATTTTTTGGAAACAATTCTGGATGTTAATTTTATCAATCACAAAGTCAGACACCGACTTAAGTATTCCGACAAAACAAAGTAGTCACAAGCGCGCCCTTACTTTAATGATCGGCCGCGGCAACCCCCCGTGACGTAACTCTTGTCGCGAAAGTGGTGACTCGAGAGAGCTGTCATATTTTGACGTCCGCAGCGGGCGTCGGAGAAAAGAGAGAAAGGGTGCGAGAAAGAGACATGGAGAAAATGAGAAGAAAAAGATTATTTTCCGAGGGGGTTGAATCCGCAGCCGTGGACAATCGCGAAGAAGAAGCTAACGAGGAAAGAGAACTCTAAATGCTTTCCTGACGAATTTACGTAATCTCTTTTCGCCGGCGTCATTTCATGCTTCTCTTTTACGTTTAATTTATTTAATAATTCGCAAGAAGGAATGCAATATTTTTATTTGATAACATTTTTTAAACAAAAGAATGTCTGCAAAAATTTATTTTTATCAAATAGTATCAGTGGATTCTTTCTTTTTATCACTGATCCAATTTCAATCAATGTAATTTAATAAGACAATACATTAAATGATCAACAGAGTTTAGTAATAAAATTTATTGAAGAAAATATATGTAAGGAAATATTTTGATACTTTAATTGGAAATAAAGATACAAATCATCCGGACAATTACACAGAAGCTAACTACGTGTGTACAAATGAAAATTAAATATAAATTAAATATAAGACAAAAAAATATGAATATGTAAAGTAATCGCGTAAAAATGAACACACATCGCACTTGGAAATAAACTGTGTACATTACTTTTAACTGACATGAGAGATTCGATTGAGGGGTCGAGGTTTGAGCACCGAATTAGGCGTGCTGTCAAAAGTCGCTCGAGCGATTGTCATGATCGCGAGCGGTGCGTGCGAACGATAATAATCGGCGGACAGCCCTTGGGGTGTGTTTTGATTTTGACCACCACGATCGTCGACTGCTGCTATCACACACTTACAGAATATCTGCGCAACTAAACTAGGAGAAAGATAGATAGAGAGAGACTTTTCGAAGGATAGGAAGAGAAAAGAGAAACCGAAACAACCCCCTCTCGCGTCCTGATCTCCTCGACGTTCCAGTCTCGCAAATTGACGTCCGCAGACATGAACCCCGCTCGTCCAATGCCAAACGAGAGTGACGAGCGTTGCGAATCCACGACTCGCTTAACATTTCCATTGTGAGCGCCATCCCCAGGGTTCAAGAGGCGGAAAGAACGGGGGAAGAAGCGGGGAGATGTGTTGAAAGAGAGAAACTCATCGCGCGCGCGCGATGCTGTCGAGGATTATAATAATTGCGAATTAACATCAGTAATCGGCCGCCAAAGTTGATCGATGGATATCGTTAAGCACGGATTGCTCGAGTCATCATACAGAATTTTCGCGTGCAATCGATGAAAACAAATTTTATTAAGAAGCTAGTTGAACTTACTTTTATATAAATAAGTAAATTTTTTTATTAATATCGATGTAATCGATGAATAATATATTATTTTTATTTTTTACAAAAGATTAATTCTATTTAATTAATTTATTGATTTAAATGCTAAATAAATGGATTATTACTCTGGAAATCCGTCGCACATAATTTACAGATATTAATACTAATTTTGGAACATATCTTTATTTATATTTATCATGGGATAATTTTAATAATTTTCTTTCAAAAATACAAATTTATGATAATAAAAAAGTTTTATTTATTATGGTTAAATAAATCAAGAGACAGGCGTGATTTGTTTCAATCAGTTTGTAGACTGTACAAGGGAGACAAAAGGGAAGATGAGAGATGCGTAACAGAGAAATATGTAATCTACATTGGCGCCGACAAAATTTCCCTGACGAATTACACGCGAAAAATTAATAACAGCCCATTAAAGTTAAAACGTAAATATTATTTTTATTTAAAAAAATTATTTTAACTGTATAATAAAAATACATTGCGTTGAATGCATTAATACATGTTATCATATATATAATGCAGTTCTTAACCATGTCAAAAATTTCAATTTGCTTCCAATAAATTAAAAATTCCGGTTTCGATTTCGTCGAAATTCGCGAAAAATGAAGACGTATCATAAGCGACTTTTCCCCATTTTTTGAATATTTTCTACAGATTAAGGGGTGCGAGTGCAATTTTCGCACCCTTTTCTCGCTGCGCCTATGACAGGTCTCGATGCAATGATGAATGATTGGATCGCGACAATGAATAATATTCGACGGGCGACGGTTAAACGCAGGAGCAGATCGGATCGGGCCCGCCTACGAAAAGGTGGAGGAGGCCCAGGACGCGCGGACAAACCATCCGTAAAATCCGAAAGGGAGCCGCCACGGCGCGGAGAGGCACGGGGATGGAAAGGCGGGGGAGGAAGGGGGGCCGCCCGGGTGACTCTGTGACGCGATTATGCTAACGAAGTTGTTCCATTGTAGCGCTGTTTACAGCGACGCGCGCATTAAGGCTACGGAACAATGGGACGACCGCGATGGAGAATCCTCGGAAACCAGGACGCGCCAGGACGAGAGAGTTATCTCGCTAACGAACGACTCGACTTCATCTCGATCATCTTGAGCGAGAGAGAGATAAATCATTTTTATCCTTGTTAAGAGCTGCACTGATAAAGAACGTCAATTTTGTAATTCCTCACAATTATTTTAATTTTCTCAAAAAAAAAGAGAAAAAAGGAAAGAAATATTTTAGACAATTTTGAAAAATATCAATTATAAAATAAAACGCGGTATTCATTTTTGTCCTGGCGCATTCCGAGTCCTTGCAACGAATGCGTTCCTTCACGAATCCGCGAGATAAGCGAGTTTTAACGGCATCAAAATTCTCGGCGGGATTCGCAGATAGAGGTCCAGGAAATCGTCGAAATTCTACGTGGTGTAAGAGGGGGGCCCCCGACTTCATCGCGTCTGGTTACCCCCTACCGAGGCGCCACTTGACTCGTATTTAACTTTCAAATATATTTTATGCCTTTTGCATTTCAATACTCCCGTGTATTCTCCGCGGAATCCGCCGTCCCACTTCTCCTCTTCCACCCTCTTCGCTTAGATTCGGTTGCGTACACATTTACGGACGCTATACATACATATTATAATGAATATATAAGTTATATAGAAATATCAAAGTCGTAATATATTATCGGTATAAATAGAATATATCATTTATTAATTTTTTAAGTCTGAGAGAGAGAGACAATAAAAGAAAAAATAATATAAAAATTCAACTCCATAAGTTTGAAGATAGTATTTTAATTACAATTTTATTTAGACTTATATTAATTAAATTTAAATATCTTAAATAATTCATTCATTGAATCCTATATAAACAGTGTAATGTTATTAACAAGAAAATATATTAAATTTTTCGCTCTTTAACCAAACGATAAATTAACTTATTATACATTTGTATTATTATGTGCATATAAATGTTCAAGAAAACTATTCGTCAAGATTATACACGCATTGGGCGTTTTCCAGCTAGCGACACAGAGAACACAGTGTATCACTTCAACCTTGTTGATTGCCGAATGTAAACAAGGATGAAATGATTCACTGTGTTACACTGTGTCCTCTGTGTCGCTAGCTGGAAAACGCCCATTGTAATTTCTAATAATTAAATCTTTGGTAAGTT